CTTGTTAAGTTAACAATAGCAGAAGTCATTGTGCGCGTCAAGTGATGACAAATGCTTGTTCAGGGTTGTTTAGGACATCACTACTCAATCTTCAAAACTACACTTACCCGGATCATAGTTAGTGCAGACCGGAGACAGATTATGAAAGCTGGAAATTGCAAACGGTTGACATTGGTTTACATCTACTACTGAGACTGACCTTGGCACCTCCTTGACACTACACGAATCATAGTTACTTACTATGAACGAATCAAGTCAGTTAGTGTTGCATACCTGACCTTAGAGTTAAAAAACAAAACGCACTGCATTACACACCGGATAGAGGTTTATCCAGTGGCTACCTTTATTCACCCTTCGAACAATCTGGGGCCCGAGGTTTTCTTCAGTAGAATGTACTTGCGGTTAGTTTGCATTTATTAACTGCAGTTTATTTGCACTTGGCATTTGCGCGAACGCGAGATTTACGTCATAAACGTATGCATCTCATAAACTAATATCTTCACGAAGTCAAGTTTGTATTAGTCTTCACACACGCAAAAATATCAGTTGAATGCACTTTACTGACTATGCCCGAATACTAATACTAAACGATGGACCTTTTTTAATTGAGGATTGTTTCCACAGTAAAATTGGAACCCTAAAACGAGGTACTAAAAAGAGAACCGGAATGAAGCGCCTTTTGGCTTAATTAACATGATAGTCACTAAATGTAATGCGTCTCTTGATTCGTCATTCAAGACGCACCAAGACCTAACACTTGATATTCAATTTTGCCTTTCACCCGTGCTGAATAACACAATATAATGATTTATGTAAATTTGAACTAATGTAAATGAGAAGAAAAATGTAAACAACCCCTAACGAGGAAGGTAAAAGAGAGTGCATCAGTTTAAGAAAAGTTCGCTTCCAGTGAATATTGGAGACATTTGATTTTTTTTGTAGTGAAATAAAGCTGTCGAAGACTGTCTGATTGAGCAAGTTCTCGCGCATTTTGCTGCCCCATTCGTTAAGAGGGTCTCAATCACTGTCAATGGAGTGATGGAATTTACGGCTGACGGTTAACGGTTAAAATTTGGCCACTTTACGGCTAACAGTAAACTTCCCTTCTTTGTGATTAAAAGAACATTTTTTTCAACGGTAAACTTTTTTCACAACTAACGGCTCAAGATTTGACACACCCAAATACATTAAAACTTCCCTAGATAAACCCTGAGAATATACGAGAGGAGTTGGGGTCAAAAGTGAAAAATCATTACAATGGGAGGGCACTTACCCTTTCAGGACTGGGAAGGTGTTTGATTACCCACTCGCAGAGGCAAAAATTGTGTCCCATTCATGTGCAAAGTACAGATTTTGAACCATTTTGCCCTCAAGATCTTGATTTCTGTTATCAAAATCTGCCCAAACTATATTCAAAAAGCTCATGTCAATGCCTTTACTGCATGACAAAGCAAGAATAAGATGACAATAATTTACACAACCATCACTGCTTAGGGTTAGGGTCAAGAAGAAAAAGATATTTAGGAGACCTACTATGCAAGCTGAGTGCCGGGTGTGATTATTGCAGCTACCAAAACGAAGAATATATAATCCCTGACAATTTATGGCAAGAGAAATTTCTCATATCAAAGTTCTCTTTGTGGAAGGATCATGCTCGCTAATATCTTACTCAAATTAGAGAAAAAACATTTTTGAGGAGAAAGGCATACGAATGCGGGTCAATCGAGGAGCCTGAGTATCTAAATACCAAATGCTCCACAACGGTAATTAAAGCATATATGACACAATTTTGAACAAAAGTCAGCCAGAGTACAGAATTACCTGGTACAACCATCCTCCCCCCCTAAAAAAGCATATTGACAGATTTCCAACAAAAAGGTAGAATTTGAGTGATCAGTAACATGAAATCTATCCTGAACATATTTCTAAGCTATTAGGAAAAATGTTTTTTTTTAATTTATGAAAACAAATTCAACACCAGTGCTCCACTTAGAGAAAAACCCTTTCCAGCCTACATTATTGTATTTCTACTGCGAATGAGGAGTCACATGTCATAGCAGTGTGGCTAGGAGGTTTAGAACACAATTTGGCTTTTTGTTCATTAGCAGATCACACCATGAGTTATTTTAAAAAAAAATGCAATTACTTAACAACTCATGTAACTAGAGAAATCATGTTTGTTTTCTCACCTAAATCAAGGTATGTCAATAACAATAAAATCATGTTTGAGATCTTATACATGACTGGGGTTTGTAGTAATGTATGATAAATGATAAAATATAAGAATGAGACTCTAATCTCCGGTATCCAGATGTACAAGCTCAGAGAGTGATTTTGTTGAACACCTTTGCCGAGAAGTGGGGGGAGGGGGACACCTACAAAATGCAATTGATGCCAAAGTCACTTTGCTTAGTAGAAATCAGAAATTCCTTCAAATTCCGGGCCAGTCTCAGACATTTCGAATTGGAACACTATAGTTCATCCTCTTTGTCCCAAATTCTAGGACTGACTCAAAAGTAAGCTGCTTTTCCCAGCAAGGACTGTGCAATTATCTAGGAGCAAAACTAAGGCTTACTGGAAAAGCTGTAAACGGAAGTTCCTGAACGAAGATTAGTAAATAATTATTTGGCTTTCCCCTGGTTTTGAAGAAGTGTTGAAGAAAAGTAAGTAAAAAATTTTGATTTATCTTCTTTCATGCATCCGTCCCCATCCATTCTCCACGTCTAGAGTTCTTTGTCTTACATTTCCATGCAGCTATTCTCTTGACCTCCGTCCTCTTCATCTAGAAGTCTAACTTCTTCCGCTAATCGTCGTTGGGTATTTCGACAATAATTCTGGTTTTTCACTAATTGTTCCCCGTTTACTGTTCTCCTTCGCGTCACTCTTCGTCGCATCTTTTTCCTTTTGCCGCCAAAAACGCGGGTTACCTATCGCGCGCAGACGATATATTGGCTCGTCTGCTGATCAAATGTAACGGGCGGCGAGCAGTTCGATTCAGTCAATAGGCAAGCAATTGACTACGCGACAAAATTCTCGAAAAGTGCAGCTTTGTTGTTTGTTTTTCCATTTCCTGAGCTGCCATATGTTAATGTTAATGAACTCATCTTTGCTTTTAATAGATTGTTAAGATCTTTATCGACTTGGAAAAAATAAAAGAAACACGTCCAGAGACAAAACGTCTCGACTTACAATTTCCTACATATATCAATTGATTATGTAGATACAAGACTTAGTGGCTACTCAAATTCGAAAAGACATCTAGTAAAAAAGCAACGTTTAAAACGTTCGGTTCTAACTAGAAGCAGGATGTAATGCGGGGATTAAAAGGAACATTACATCTATTGAAGTTTTAGACTGGTTAATTCATTTTATTTTACCATAGCTGTACCAAGGATTGCCAAGCTCTCCTGGCTGGAAACTCATCTTGCGTACATACATACAACCGAATCACATAAGTTACCTTGCTTTGATTGCAAGTGCTTTCTTTGGCTTCGATCGGGGTAGGCTATTTTTCCATACGATTCAATTATGTTAGGAATTTGTCCACAGAAATCCAACTGCAATTGTGGTGTATGCGAAGAAATAACTGGCCATTCAAACATCAACCCTTAAAAAAGTTATATTCCTTGAAGACTGCCTAATTTGTGCCACGGTGACCTGTTACGTGGCAGTGAATCAGTGTCAATCATGGTATCGTGTCAGGTAGTCTGTTCCATTCAAGGAATGAAGCATAATTGTCAGGTTTTCATTCCACCTAAATTATCATTTAAGAGAAACGCTATCTTAGAAAAACAACTAAACAGGGATTTTCACAAAGTTGCCCTAGAGGCCAAACAGTATGACAAGGGAATCGAGAGAGTATTTTTAAACAGTTGCTTGTAACATTTTCCTTGATGCAACTTAAATTACATGTACGCGTTTCTAATCATAGCAGGCGGAGTTTTTTTGAGAAAATGTTGAGTAAAAAGTTGAAGAAAAAAGAGTGCATTGGCGTTAAAAACAGAGACGGGGATTTGCCCCTGTTGAACAAAAAAAACTTCATGATCAAAATCGAAGTCGAAACCCAACGATGCGGTCGAATGAAACTGCGCAATGGCGGATTATAAATGAGACCCACGGGCATAATTTTGGCAATTGAAAGCTGTAAGGCTTTTAGTGTTCCATTGCCTGTAATTTGATAATTAATGGCTTTTTTTCAGCATTGCATATATATGCAAAATTAGCCTTTTAAAAATAGACGCGGGCTGAGTCACGCAATACTTAAAAAGATAAATATGCTGAGTAATCAGGGTGTTAAGCGAACGTTTAGCAGGTGTCTCAAGTTTCATGAGTCTGAGCCTTTTGGGTACTCACAATTAAAGTTTTAAATTAAAGGCTAAAAAAAAGATGAAGAAAAAAAAGCTTGCTAATTCATCAATCCGGAAAAAAATTATGTCATTGTCAAACACATTTCCTTTCATTAAAAAGTGATGATTTTAAGGGTGTATTGCAAATTTCAGCAGAAACATAATAATAATAATAATTAATAATAATAATTTAATATATATATTGCGCAAATTAACATGTAGATATGATCAAATGCGCATCACAACACTTTTGGGGGGACTTTGGCCGGACCGCATCAGCAGTTTACAAACAATGCAATCGAAGGAAACTTATTTGAAGATGCCCCCTCCCCTCAGTTCCCAGTAAACAGGCCAGACCACGTCACAGTGATCTCGTGAGAGGGTTCTTTAACGTCCCCTGCCTAACCAAATTAACTAATTAATAGATGCAGGAGACGGGTAATGGCTTTTAACACCACCAGTGACGATCAGTGGATGCCGGTTCCCGCATCGCATTGCCTTCCATGGCTTGTTTTCCGCATGGCTGAATACCTGCCCATAGTCATCCCCACCATCATCACCATCTTTGTGTTCGTGAAGCAGCGCCAGCTACAGCGTAGGAGTATACATATTTGATCATCCATCTGGCCATAGTCGACATGCTGGTTGGGGCAATGGGGCCGCCTTTATTCCTTGTAAGGACAGGAAGTGACAGTTGTGATTTATGGAAATACAATTGGCCTGATGTTGACTGGATAAAAATACTAACGATTCGCTTGGGGCGCGTACTTCCCCTTCTCTCTTTTGTTAATCTCGTTGTTATTTTATTAGAACGTGCCCAGGCAGCGTTCCGGCCTTTGAAGCACCGTTACATTAACAAGTGGGTTTATGAAGTGATGACAACTATCACTTGGTTGGTGCTCTCTGCCATGCACGGGATAGAATCAGCGCTTCAGCGCTTCCGCGCCATTTTCATCGCTTTAATCGTAACCCGGTACAGCTTTTGTATTGTCTTTTCCTTGTTTTTGTAATATTCGTAAGCTATATTTCTATATATATCAAGGTTCGTTGTGCCCAACATCATGCATGGTGCAGCCGGCCAGAGGGACAGAAAACTAACGACTACACTGTGTCTCGCCTCCTTTGTATCATTATTTACAGTCCTGCCGATGTTGCTATCTCACGATGTGGCAAGTTTTAACACCGGCTTATACCGGCTTATACCGGCTTATACCGGCTTATACCGACTTATACCGGCTTATACCGGCTTATACCGACTTATACCGCTTATACCGGCTTATACCGGCTTATACCGGCTTATACCGACTTATACCGGCTTATACCGGCTTATACCGGCTTATACCGGCTTATACCGTAGCTTTCACCGGCAGTCATCATTTGATGTTGATACGTTAAAAGGTATGTATTTAAGGGGGCAATTCACTGATTAATCCTATAATATACGCCGTGAGGAGGCCAGAATTAAGAGCAGGGATATTTGCATATCATATGCTACAGGGCTTCAAAACCCGTTCGCCCGTTAGAATAGTACCGACTTCGAGGTCTTTGAATTGCTCATTTAAGGAAAATCACACATTTTAAGGAAGAGAAGACGGCCGGCAGCGCAAGTCAAAAAATAATTCTTTCCATCTGCTTTGAGTCGTTTGTGTACCGCGAAAAAATATTAGATTTCCTCTGCTCAGTCAAACTTGTTATTGTAAAATTTAACCTAATGTTTGTTCACCTCCCGCCTCGATTAGCTTCGCTATTTTGCCGGGAGGGATTCAGGGTTAGATATGTATTTTAATTGCCGAAATAAATAGTTTTGTTGTTGTTTTTATTATTAAACAAGATTATTTTTTATATTATTTCTGCCTCCTTGATTTATGGATTGTAAGAAAAGAGGGGGAAAATTTCGATNTAAATTAGTGGAATGAAAAGCGTTCGTTGCAAGAGCCTGTATAGCATCGTTCTGTGACATCGTAATAAAACCTTACTTTGTTGCATTCATTTTTTCCTCTTTGCCTCTTGCCTCCATCTTCTCGATGGATGACACGTTCGTCTCCCTACTCAGGAGAGTTTATTATGAGGATTTTGCGGGGATCACGTTATTGTTTTTAGGGGGGAACGGAGGGGGGAAATCGGTCGTCGCTGACAGACTGAGTTTGAAGGAGGGAGGGGGCTAAAGATAATTGACTGAGGGATTATTGATAACCACGAAGATATTCGAGTTTATTACTAAAAACACACAGAGAAGATTAACAAGCTGCAAGCATGTGAAATGTGAAACACAGGGATCAAACGTTAGCGCATGTGCAAACGTGCTTTCAGACAATCACACAAGCTAGTAAGTCACAGTATTTCAAGAGCATAGCACTTTTTTTTGTAAAACTCCAAACAGAATGGTAAATCAACACGATACTCATATTTGAATAAGCTTTGTGTTCGAAAAGTCTTGAGTTTTCCTTTCCCTTTCCGTTGTTTTCTTTTACAGATTTTTGAGAACGTTTCAATTTTTTTCGTTTATTTTGCGACAGCATTTCAGTGTTACGTTATGTTTTCCTTTGAAATTTTGCGTGGGAAATTGGCGCACAGCAGCCAGAATTGATCCCCTTGCGCATTCCCAACGTTTGACCGCTGTGTTATACGAATATGCTTGGCCTTTCGTATTCAGAGTTCGTATTTAATTTTCGGAACTCGAACTTTTACAAGTCGTACTTCCTTTTTAGTGCTTCAAGCGTCACGTGACATCCGCCAAAAAAGAGAACCGCTGTGAAGGAATCTCCGAAACTTTTCAAATTCAGTTTGTCCCGTTGAATTAAAAAAAAAGTGACCCATTGATACAGGGTTATTCTGGATCAAAAGAGAATTATGTTAAATGTTAGGCTGACAAAGAAATAACTGAACCATTGGCAAAGCTGCAGACATAACATTTTGTCGGATTTGTGTATACTTCGATTAAGGCTGACACAGGATTAAGAAATAAAGACTAACATAACGAAAGCAATTCATACCCTTTTAATACATATTATTCTTTGCATTGATATAGGGTCATTTTTTACCTTACCTAAACAACTCTGAAAACCAGAGTGCAAAACACAATGAATTTTTTTCGTACATAAAAGAGCACAGAATATCCTCTAAAATGAAGGTTCCGTAATACTAAGACTTCCCTCGAACTTCTCATGTCTTAGTACTTCTGTCAAGGCATCATCATCAGAAAAGTAACCAGGGAGGTCACATGGTGCAAACTCATCATCGAAAAACTCTTCTCGGCTGGTACTCAGATCGTTTAATGCGCGCACACGTCGCAATTTCCCAGGTTTCCATGTATCGGCGACTTTTCCCAAGTCATGAGCTGAGTTATTCAAGTCGTTCCAGAAGGCATTATCATCAGATAAGTCACCTGGGAGGTCACATGTTGCAAACTCAACATCGAAAAACTCTTCTCGGCTGGTACTCAGGTCGTTTAATGCGCGCACACGCCGCAATTTCCCAGGTTTCCATGTATCGGCGACTTTTCCCAAGTCGTGAGCTGAGTTATTCAAATCGTTCCAGAAGTCGATGGTTTTCCTTTCTTTTTCAAGTGTTTCACTGTTAAAAAAAAAATCTTTGTCACTAAGGACACGTATCTATACATGCAGCAAACATAGGACTACGACAGGAAATTTTTTGGACCTGAGATATACTTTTTTCTTTAGTTTACGCGAAAATATACATCGAGGTTTTGGGGACAGAAAGTTGTCTACCCGATGAAAATCGTTCCTAACAATTTTAAGTGGCACAAAGTAAAATTGAGTAACACAAATCAATGACACTTGATCAAAAATCTCTCTATACTTACATGATATCAGAGATCGACTGCTGGCGTTTTACCAAAGTTCTGCCAGGTTTACTCTCAATCCGTTCTGCTTGAGCCAGCAGGTAGCCCCGGGCGTTTCTCATCATCTCCTCTTTCTCTTCTTCAACTCTTTGACGTTGCTTGCACAATTCAACGACTCTCCTGTGTAAAGACACCAAAAATTGTTTTCCCAATTAAATCTTTGGCTTTTTATTTCTAGTAAATGTTCAAAAGGTGTTGCAGGGAATCGTAATTTTATCTTCGAAGAAGACATTTCTGTTAAAGGCGTATCTAGCTCTTTGAATTGTTATATATGTAGGTATCATTTTCAGAGATGTGGAAGCATGCTTACCTAGCTAGTGTATTAACGTTACGAGATTTTTACGTGTTGCTTCTTTGTTAGTCAAAAACTCGAAAGTATGTCGTGAAGAAAGTCCAATTTTTGTTTCAAACTTTGCAAGAGTCCTAATACAAAAGTCAAGTGGGCGGGAAAAAATTGTAGGCCTGGGCCTGCGGGGCTATAGCTCAGACTGGCTACGCTCCTAACTAGATAAAACACCTCAAAATATACAGGTCTTATTTCAACACCAGTTGAATTACAATTCATACCTCGTGGTTTGAATTTGTGCTTGGAGTATGCTGATCTTTTCTCGCATATTGGTGAATTCCTTAGCAATTTTTCGTCTGTGAAGAGGAAAAAAAAATATTAGTCATCGTGAGACATAAACGAAGGATTAAGACACTAAGGAATAGACGTCTGTAAAGATTCTTGCCTGGACTTCGGTATTTTAGTGGAACCAAAGCAGTTAAAACGTTTCAAGATTCCCAAAATACCCATTGTCGCAAATTTCCGACTAAACTTTCAGTAGAAAATCCAACGCGCAATTGACACAGTATTTTCAACTGAACTAGTTTACGCAAATGTAGCAAGTATTGTGATATCATCAAGACAACAGGAGCGCGTGCGATAAAGCGCGCGCTCAGAAAAATAACATGTGTTCACATGTATCGAGCCTTCATTTTACTGCACTTCTTATACTGATCGAGAGAATAGCGTCGTCGTGGGAAAATAATTCAAGGCAAGCTCGAAAATATAAATGAAAGGGCACTAGGTATTACATTTGATGACAAATCCTCGGCACAAGACAAGCTGTTGAAGAAAATGCGAATGTCCAGCAACCAGGCGAACTCGAAGATGACGGTATTTTTCTTTGTGAAGTGCTAAACAATTCAGCACCAAAAAAATTTTAAAGAATTTCTAAAGGAAAAAGAAAGCGTAAAAATATTTGGCAACCGTAAATATCAGTGCAAACCGTCGGTATATTTCGTCTATTAATCCCATGAACTTGCATTACAAGTACGATACTGGTGTAAACATATGTTAGTGGTGGGTCTGTAGTAACTTGGCAACCGTGAATATGTATGTGAGTTGCCAAAAGAAAACCAAGAAAAGTTCAGCTACATCTGAGACGCCAAATAATATCCGTTTGGTAGAAAAAAAAACGCAATTAAAAGTTGACTGCAATTATTCCCATATCCTGTACAGGTGGGACACACATCAGGAAGACGACCAGCGGCTCACCTCTAGAAATTAAAGTATAGGCGCGGCTTTGATTGGTTACGGTGATGTTGACGTCATTGGCTAGGATTTGATTCCCGCCATTTTGAGTCTTCGTGTGTTCGAACATTTGTGCCACTTTCCACCATTAGGAAAGCATGGCAGCATCGAAAATTTCTCTCGACAAAGACGCCTTTTTTCGGCGAATCAAAAGGATTTATGACGCCTGGAAGGTAAAAATTTTGACGTGTTTTGGGGTCATCGAAAGGGAAGTTTGACTTAGCGATGGGACTTAGAATTTTAACGTACGACAAATATTTAATACGCACACGATTTTCAATTTCAGAAGGAGGACAGCATGGAAGATAATGGGGCTGCCTTTCCAAGTGTTGACGCAGTGGTGATTGCAGTCGGGCAGGACGAAGAAGCCATTTATAACAAATCGACAGCAATACAGGTAGAACATGTTGTTGCAGTGTCCGTGAATTGACGGCAATCACATGGTCTCAATGTTGTCGATCATTTAAATTCCTGTTTGCACATGAGTTCATAATCTGGTGTGAAGCGGAACGCAATCGGTCAATTTTTAACACTGGCTCCATGCATTTCATTCTTACGATATCGCTTGAAAGTGGTTTTAATTATTGTTTACATGTAACTTTAGCTGATTCTGCCAAACATATATCAAATATTGATTGATATTAATATCAATAAATATTTATCATTTATTCCATATCCCCCGGACTCAAGAATTTGTATGAGTAATTTATAATGTCAGTTGTTATGGGTTACGTCACCCTTCCTATCAGCATATACCCTTATTTTTGGCATCTTATTATCAAATCTTTCTCAGTAAATAATTCAGATGGGAGAGTAGAAAATGAAATTCTCTGCTGTCATGGAAAAATTGTTTTTCTTTTTTCGCTATTGTTAACACACTCTGTACTTCACTCTATTGATAAAAGAATGCCTCGTGTGATTTGAATGGTACCTATTTTTTATCATTACAATGGAAAGTAGGGCATTGCATTGTCTATTAGCTTTGAAATTTCATGGTTTATTTAATTAAGGTTGAATGGTTCTCTTTCTCTTTCTGTCAACAAACAGTTAAGGAAAATATTTTTTGGTTGGTTTGTATGTCATGATCGTCAGCATAATATTTTCCTGTTACCCTTTCCACACTATTAGTAAGTACATAGTGCAGGGGTTCATCAAGAGCCAGCTGCCAGCAAAATTCATCATCTATGGCAGCCAAAATCATTCCATTCATTCTCTAACATTAAGAATGTGAGAATAAGGATTGAACCACTAGTAGCTGCTTTCTTTGGAATTTTTGCCACCTACAATTGAGATGTTTGATTGTGTTGTATCTGTGAAAAGAACTGAAATTGAGTTCATTTCATGTTTCTTCAGCTTATTTTTTTTTGTGTTTCTTCAGCAATGGTTGTTTGGTTATGAACTGGCTGATACTGTTACAGTACTGTGTGAGGGATCAGTGCACTTTCTTGCCAGTAAAAAGAAATATGATTTTCTTAAACCATTACAAGATATGCAAGTGAAATCCAACACTTCACCATCATTACAACTTCATTTGCGAAACAAGGTGGGAAGGATTTTTCTAAGTACCATTGCTTATATATAGCATCGTTTCAGCCTTTACTTGACTCAACACCAATTGGCGTGTAGATAATGTTTTACAATGGTTTTGAAGTAATGGAAAGTAGCATTTGAGCTGGAGATAAAAGTCAACTACAAAGAAAAAATAAATTTATCTCTTTTTATATGTGATGTTATTTATTCAGGGTTCACCCTTTAATCCCAAGGGGTGACGAGCATCTAATTTCTCCTTACAATATCACCCCTGAATCTCACATTAAGGTAATGAGATTAAGGGAATTGATCACCAACTAAAGAATCTCTTGATTATTAAACAAGTTCTCCTTGTCAATGCTATAAATATATCTTATTAACCAAGCGTGAGGGCCGTACTGGGAGAATATCGGCCCGAGGTCTTGACAGTATGGACCGAGCACAGCTAGGTCCGTACAAAAAAGACCGAGGGCCGATATTCTTCCAGTACGGTCCTGAGCAAGCTTGGTTAATAAGAGATTTATTATATGACTGAAGTTCAAAGGGACACAAGTGCGGTATCATTCGGGACCATTCGGGACAGTGCCCGGTCCAATACTGAGAGAATATTGACTGGCAATAGAGCGTTTTGATTGGTTGATTTTAGTTATTGGCCCTCTGACTGCCCGAGTCGTGTAATAAAAATGTATAGAGAACAGTATGGAGAATAAAGCAGACTGGTGAGAGAATGTAAAGGATTAATTTTGATAATCTACCTGCTCTCTACAGACTGACCAAGACAAGGAGAATTTTCAAAAGCTAATTAACTCTATGAGAGAAAGTAAATCTGTAAGTACGAGAATTTTGAGCTTAGGATGTTTTACTTAATATACCCACAATGAGACTAGTATCATGTTAAAATGATTTATCTTATTATGCATGTGCTAAGAAAGAGATACAGTTGTCTAACTATCCACTTTGAAAGCGTCTTAGATTTCAAATGACTGATTATGTGCTTAGAAATGAAATTCTTCATGAAGTAAGCTGGAAATATTTGTAAACTTCATTTGACTTATTATGCTCTCTCTTTTGCAGGGAAAGACTGTGGGTGTTTTTCAGAAAGATAATTTTCAAGGACAATTTGTTGACGAGTGGAAAAATGCATTTGCAAAGGAGTCCTTCGAAAAGGTCTGTTCAAAGAATTTACAACCGTCAAATTAATAAATCTAACTAAGAAAATTTATATTACTTGTAAGACTTGTACCTACCTAAAGTTCATCAATATGTGTTTCACTACAGGTACAAGTTGACAGTTTTGTTATACTATCAACAGCAATGGATTGTTTGTCTTTTTTTCTATTTTGCATGTAACCATTTTTACTTGATCACCCTTCATTTTGTGTTACCTTTCATTTGAAATTTGTCTGTACCGATTTGTACAGATTTGTTAAATACAACGGTGTTGATTATCATGAATAGTGATGGTCAAGTGCTGATGTGATGTTTTACAGGTTGATATTAGCAGTGCAGTGGCTTATGTCATGTCAGTAAGAGAGGATCAAGAGCTCACTCATGTCAAGGTATAAGCAGGGATTAATATTTTAATCCTAATATCACAGAACCAGGGCTCTCTCTTACCCAGAAGTGATCAAAAAATGAATTTCTCCTTTCTGTTTCAATTCATTTTAAGGGTGACAAGAAGATGGGATATTGTCTGAGTTGATACTGAATTCTAGAGGCAGTGGTACCATCTAACACTTTTTCTTTCTTTGTTCTGTAGAAAGCTGCACAAGTTTCCTCAGATATTTTTGTCAAATACTTCAAGAAACAAGTCATGGAAATTGTAGATGATGAAAAGGTGATATTATGCGCTATGTGAACTTTTGTTAAAAATTTGCTGTAGAGTGTAAGTTGGTCGTTATCTGATTTTGATAACTCCAAATCAGAGAAGTGTTGTAGTGTGCCAGAAAATATTGACTTTTGTTCTATGTAGTAAATTATGTGCGAGATGAACGCATGTTAAGTTAGGTCGTGTGAGAAGACTTTGAAAATTAAGTCTTAAATTTATGTCCAAGCATGGCTTTGTGCTGTGGGCTAGGTTTATGAAAATTTTCCCACAATCATCCATATGATCCCGATATCACAACTATATCAGTTTGAAGCTTCAACGTCCCTCCCTACCCCCAGGCAAACCCCTGGGCATTTAAACTTTTGAAAATTGTTTTGTTCAAATTCCTGCCCCTCCCCCTGCAGGGAAAAATTGTGTTTAAATGCCCCACCCAATTTTTTTTGCAAAAGGCAAAATCATGTTGGTGACATTCCATACTTTAACCAAGCTTTAAAACCTAGACCTTGTTGACACTCTTTTCTGAGCCATTTGCTAGCAAAAGTGAACTATTCACGTATAAATACCTCCATCTTTAAAGAAGTGACACCTCCAGTTCAAATCTCCCATTCTTGCCAAGCAAGGTTCAAATTGCTCCCCCCCCCCCCCGGGCACAGACGATGGTCAAATGCCTGTGGGTTGCCCAAAGTTGGGGGGAGGGGTATGTTTAAGCTTGGAATTGCCAACTTCTGCATTGTTTTCCTTTTCTTGCCATAATTGTAAAGTAGCAACAGTATTGAAAGTGGAGAGATGTGATGTTCTTGGGGTTCCGTTTTATAATTTGCAATAAATTACTACTAGTTGACTGTGATATTTTTTAAAGAGATATTTGTGCTGTGCTTATTTGTCATTTGGTTATCTGTTTTGCAGAGAGTGAAACATTCAAAAATTGCAGATGGAATAGAAGGAGCTTTGGATTCGAAGAAGTTTTTGCAACCTGGGATGGATTCTGACCAAGTGAGGATCACATTCTAAATTCCTTGTGATTAATCCAGTAAAATGATAAATGTTACCAGCAGAGCTGTTCCTTCAGGGGTCTTGAGTAAATGTAGTAAAAAAAAAAATATTGTTTCATCAATCAGAAGCAACAATTACGGAAATTTATACTCTTTTGCAAAAGTCACAGTGGTATTGGTAAATTTGTGGAAGTCTGGATCAAATTCCCAGGTTAATCTCCTGATTAGGATCATTGTTCTGTGTTCTTTGGTGAGGTGCTCTATTCTTACAGTACCAATCTTCACTCAGGAGTGTAAATGGGAGTAAGAAAAGTTTTAGAAAACATGACAAAGTGGAGAATGGGCAACCTATGATGAGATAGCATCTCATTCAGGGCGAGAAGCAGTACTCCTGGTCCCTTCTGGAAACTGGAATACATTTCATGCACATTTATTCATTACTTTTCATTCCTTTTTTAAGGTTGAGATGTGTTACCCTCCCATTATACAGAGTGGAGGGAAATTTACACTCAAGTTCAGTACAGTGAGGTAAGAATATTTTGAAGGTAATAAATTTACACATTGACACCTGAAGTGCCCGTAATCGCCCAAACCGCTCAATTGGCTAGCGCGAGAACGCTTTCCCCCATACCTCCCCTACTAAGCAGAGTTTTGACCCCAAACTTCGTCTATGGTTTCGAGATCAATAAACCAATCAGAATCTGTCATTTACGCATATATTTTGATGGCTTTAGGGTCTACTAGAGGGACATCATTCTATGCATCCTCACTAAATAGTCAAATTTGAAAATGTGGCATCCGCGAGGCTGACCCTCAAAATTTTCAGGTCGGATTTTTCATTCATTTGCAATCGAGTTAGACCTTGTGGAACTCAGAATGTAAAGTAGCAATGCTATAGAATACTCTGCTTGAAAAATCATGGATATCAAGGTCTTAAAGATGACAGAATAAGCTCTTGAGTCAAGGACGCTACGATTCTCCTAGACGATGTGAATTATAGACATAAAGTGAAAACGAATTTTCAGACTTCAAGCAGGGCCTAGCGACCATTTGACGATTCGATGGCCTGGTAAATATTATGTTCGAGTAACATTGTGTTCAAAAAGTATTGTTTAACAGAAGATTTTGTGTCAAATCGAAGTTTTTTCAGAATTTTCAACATAACGCTGCACAATTTTCTGGCCTTGAAGGCAAGTAAACAATGATCTAAGCGTGGTGAATTTTACCATGTGGAATTTGTACACGTAAGAAATTCGTATGTTTTTCGCTTATAACAGCCAATTAAAAAACTGTTTTGAATAAATCTGTTTTGAATAAATCTGTCGTCCCGAAATATTTCTTGGTCATTTTCGTCTTGCTTCCTAATGATAGATTCCATGGAACTTGGGATCTCTTCACTCACGGACAGATTTGCATATTCTCTTTTGAAATATGATCCGCATGCCCATTTGCACACATGTGAAAATATTTAGCGATTTTTATCTTTCATCTTGATTTTTGAGTAAAAACTTAATACGCACCTATCGCTTTTTTCATCGGAAATAAGTTCTTTAATTAGTCTTCTTTCACTGGAGCTTGTTTTTTGGAAAAGATGAATTTTAAAAATTTACTGCGAATAGTGTTTGCTTTCTTGGTTTTTTCCAAAATTTTGACTTTTCGTACGGACGTGTTACAGGTAGGTGTCAATGGGTTAATAATCCTTACTATGATAGTCAGCCCCATCTATTTGTTGGTAATGAACTAGTGAAAAACTTTGTCAAGTAGTAATAGGGACAGGTACCATAAAAGTAGCAAGGGGAGAGGGTGGTAATCTCCTTTGCAGCAAGGAAATCACTATGGCAACAAAGCCTCACTCCTTCTTCAGGCATGGTTTGACACTACACTGACACCAAGGCTGTCTGAAATGACAACTTGCCAAAAGAAAGAGGCGAGGGGTGGGGGAGAAAAATTAAGCAGAGCAAATTGATTGAAAGGACAAGGCACTGCTCCTTTAAACATTTCATCACATTGATGTACTCAATGCATTGATTTGGCTCAAACCTGACCTAAATTACAGTTTCATTCATATCACTGAATTATGACTTGATTTGACATTCTTATTTGGAAATTTTGTAGTAATGAGGAAAAGCTTCACTATGGTACAATAATCTGCTCCCTTGGTGTTCGATACAAGTTCTACTGTTCCAATATTGTTCGGACAATGTTGTATGAGCCATCACAGGTGAGATTTCCCTATGTTTGGGGTGGGGTTTTACTTTGATCTGCAATCAGGGTTTTTCTTTTAAAGTACAAAAGGGAGACACAGCTAGAGAAGTTATGGTCCTCTTCATTTGTGGACAAAGTATTAATTTCTCTCTTTGCCAATACACCTGACTTCCACACTGCTCATCTTCATGGTTACCAACAAACTTTCAAGTAACTTGATAAATAGGGTTCATAGGGGTCCAGGAAAACCTGGAAAATCCTGAAATTTTATTTTGACACTTTCCAATTTACAATGAGGTTTTTGTTGTCATGAAATACTGTGTTTTTGTCTAGGAGCAACAAGATAATTATGATCTGCTTCTTACAACTGTGGATGTCATTCTGGACAAGTTAAGACATGGTATGGTTCATTTCTTCTTTATTGTTAAATATTGCTAGTGATAGCAAAATGTTAAATTGCTAATTTTCATTGACAACATGTAATATTTACTTTAAGGGGTGAAACTTTGTGACGTTTACAATGCTGCCCTTGAACATGTTACAGAAAAGAAACCTGATTTTCAGGCTAATTTTGTGAAAAATGTTGGGTAAGTGATTGACCTAACCCCGTAACTCCCAGAGGAAGCCAACATATAACTTCTACTTATCACATACCTATGTGTACATTATCTAGCAAACAGGCAATGAGAATAGTCAAACATATTAGGTACATGTAGAAGTGGATATCTCGATGTGACACCAAATTATCTTTGCTAATTTACAAGGAAATGTGTAGCAGCTAGTGGAAAGAATTAAAAATCAGATCTAGGGAGTTAAAGCAGGGTTTGGCGCTAACCTTGCAACTTACTAGCCAAGGAGCTAGTGATATCGTAGATGTTAGAACAATTTCAGTTTGTTTACTGGCCAAAACCACCAGCCAAAACTGAATTTCTACTAGTCTGTGGCTAGTTGGCTACTGTTAGTGTCAAGCCCTGTGAAGGTTAAAATGAATGGCATTTATTGTAAATGTAGCGTATATTCAGCATACACTAGCTTTCATTGTTTTTTATCCTGAGTATTGTTTAAAAGTTTGGATGAATCTAATTATTATTATTTACAGTGTAGATTATGCTTTTTTCTGTTTTTGTTTATAACTGGATTTGATTTATCATTTGTGTGTAAGTAACAAAGATTTGTTCAAAGTTTGTAATGTGTAGTTTTCTCTTACTATTTTCAGGTTTGGGATGGGAATAGAATTTAGGGAAGGCTCTTTACTCATAGCTTCGAAAAACAATCATGTGGCAAAGAAAGGTAAAATTATTTTGCCTACTATTTAGAATCATAATCCAAACTAATGGAAAAATTAATAAGAATCAAACTGAACTGGGAAGTATTTATAATTCTACAAAAATATAACTAGTGTTACTGTACAGCTGTGCTTGAGGTGCCATACAGGTACAGGTAACTGTCTCCCTCTCCTTTTTGTGAGGGTAATAGTAAGGATAACATGGTAACAGTCGAACTTCCACTAACAGCCACCTCTGTACAACATTCACCTTTCCACAACTTCCACCCATTTTGCTCCTGGTACACTGTCTATACACTCACCCCTGCAGTGCTGTTCCTCCATGCAGTGGCCACCTCTCCACAATCCTCACTTTCTTCTGTCTTTTAAGGTGGCCATTGTGGGGAGATTCAACTGTAGCCAAAAATTTTATATACAGTCAGCCTGGAGTTCACAAATTTATTTGGATAATTTGCTTGCTTTAGGGATGGTTTTCAATGTGAATGCAGGTTTCTCAGGCTTAATTAATGATACTGCAGAGGACAGTGAGAGCAAAAACTATGCCCTATTTATTGGAGATACTGTGTTAGTTAATGAGGTATGTGTGTAAAGAACTCTATTTTTGGACAGAATGGCTAGGTTTACACTGAATATATCATAAAGAAAAAACATAAGAACAACCTTGATTATAAGTACCCTCTGCACCTCATTTGCAAGGTTTATGCATCCTCTTTAATAATTTAAGCACCCCACTCATGGAAAGTAAACACAATGTGGAAGCTTTCATAGTTCATAAACTGTCTGTTACATGTATATGTTGTAATTCAATTTTATCCTTGGTTCAAATTTTATTTTCCTTTGTTTCAAACTCATTATCATACATTAACATGACTGAGAACAACGCAAAATAAAATTTGAACCAAAGATAAAATTGAACTACAACATATATTCCCCACAATTCCAGCCCCCTTTTTTGTGACTGTCAACATTTTACATGGGTATTTCTTTTTTCTTGTTTCTGGAACTGTTAATTCCATCTCCTCTTACTATTTATCTTTTGGTGAGAAGTTTGTTCATTTGTTTCAGGACTCTCCAGCCTCTGTATTGACATTAGCCAAGAAAAAGATCCCTAATATTGGCATCTTTCTCAAGGTTGGTTGATCTTTACTTTTTGCCTTTCTCCCTCAAGACTTTCAAATAAATGTAACCCTCTGATTTAATAGCTTTGCCGACCGGCAGGGACACCGCAACAGCTTGTGCCAATTACTGCAGGCCCAGTAAACCCACCCATCCCACCCAGGGGAGGACATCCATCACACAGTAATCTCATGCATGGGAAATTAACGTCTCCTGCCCCTAACCCTGCAGGAGACAGGACCTCCAATTATTCGTCACTATCTGAGAAGAGTAGAATATCTAACCATTTCTTGATGTTATAGAAAGGTAGCAAATCTTCTCAATTATTTTAAGACTCTGAGTGTTGGTCTGGCTGGGGCTTGAACTCTCTACCTCCCCCACAACAGTCCAGCGCTCTATCCATTGAGCTAACCGGGAGGCTAGTGATTCTCCTATCTGTCAGCCAGACATTTCTTATAAAATAATCTTTGAGAAATTGGTTTTAAATGAAATGATAATCCTCTCATTGATATTTTTCTTGTATTGGTATCTGTGTGGGGATTATGATTATTTAACATGCCTTAATTCTCTCTTCTCCTACAGGATGAAGAAGATGAAGGAGAAGATCAACAGGAAAATGGAGAGGTATAGTACATGCATGTGCTGCAATTTGTGTAGCTTTTGAATTGATACATTATATCATCGTTTCCTCATGAATAGATGTAGGAGTTTTTGCATTACCCTTCCTCTCAACGTGGGAACTATGAAGTTCTCTTTATGATTTGATTGATTCAGCTCTCTGAAAAAGGTTTGAATAAGCATCCTATTAGTATCATATTAGTATTAGTATCATATTGTGAACCTCTTGAGAAACAACTACAAGGTTTCAAAGTTTGTAAGGGTTATAACCTCAGTTTGGAATGGTAGCTTTCTGTTCCTTAATTTTCTTTTGCATTGTAGTTTTCCATTGCAGCATGAAATGATAGTGCAAAACCAATGCATCCATGGACTACTATATTTTGATTAACTTGACAAATTGTTCCCTCTACTCATTTGCAGGCTGAAGAGGATCTTCTTTTGGGTCGAGAAGGGAAAGGAGCATTACTTGAAAGCAGAACAAGAGTGAGATAATGATAATAATTTTTCCTTATTGATTTAAAGGAAAAATGAAGCACAGCTCTCATTAAGATATAACTGCATTTCAGTAATTTATTTTGTTCATGATTAAACAGTTCAGGTGACTGCACTGTATACTCTTTGGACTCAAAAATAAAAAAAAAAACAGCAACAACCACAAAAAACATTTACTGTACACATAGGTGTTGAAAGCTTTCCTTGGACGTGAAGCATAAGGGGCTGACCATTTAACTTTTGAGGGGGTGGGTGGGTGATTTCTGGTCATCAAGAAATTTTTTTCTTGCAATCTGCTGAGCAGGATATTTTTTTCCATTCTAAATGCTCTTTATTTTCTGTTACATTTGGGCTGCATGCAATTTTTTTCTTCCAACAAGCGCCTGCAGGAAATTTTTTTCAAAATCACCCACCCCCCCTCAAGAGTTAAATGGTCAGCCCCTAAATATACAGTATATAACCAATTTAAAAATTTTCCACACTAAATCCACTTTGTTTCACCAATGAGCACCTAAACTGTGTAGATGATGTGATCAATGACTTTGAGAGTGAGTATTTTAATATACAGCCATAAACTAAATTCTATTTTAATTACTTCCACATCAATTAAGAAACTGTGCAATGAATGTTTTGATATCATGTTTTTTCTGCAGTATTCTGAGCTGAGAACGTCAGGGACCACTGTAAGCTTTTTACAGTGTACTATAGATAATACTATAATAATACTATAATAATACTAATAACATAATACTATAACATTAGAGCTCTAAAACTAGAATGACTATTTAAAAGTGTGCTATGGAGATCAGATTTAATTGCTGTACTTTGTTTTCCCCATCAACATAGATGGTAGTTGAAAAAGTAGGATTAACTATTTGAAAATTGTTAATTTTCATAACTCACTTAGACGCTTCGTCTCCATCTTTAACTTGAAATGAGGTTTTTTGAGTAAAAGAGGATCTGACACACTTTTACACATGTGACTTTCAAAGAATCAGGCTAATTTTTGGGACTGCTTAGTTCTGAAGTGATGTTGATTGCTCATTCTCCAGAACTTGAAATGGTTCAATCACTGCCCTGTTCATGCCTTATGGCTTAAAATAATTTGATTTTTAAGGTGACCAAATTTTTTTGGGGCAAAGTTATCTATGAATTGGAAATTAATAGTGTAAGGAAGAATGTATTACAGAGTGACATTTACCTAGTAAAGAAAGCAAACCTTACTGGCATGCCAACAACTGTCTTGATTTTTGAAAGCTTACATGTCACAAGAGGGATATGTGCCCACTTTGCACTGTTCAGCACTGTGGTCTAGCAGTGCCTGGTGGCCCCTAGCTGGCACCTTAATTTTGCTCTTGGGCAACTCAGGAATCTTAGATTCTTCATAAAACTGGATTTGACAGTTTCAGAGCAGTGTGCTCCCTTCAATTTTTCTTAGAACACAGCCTTGGTGTTGATATTATGAAAGAGGCCATTGAGGATTCCATTGTCTAACTTAAGAAAAGAAATGTTGACTATTTTAATCAGAATATATTTTACATTTTAAGTTTCTGTTTAAGTGTCATGCTTGTAATTAACCTTACAAAAACTAATCATAGCTTTTAGTTAAGTGCATAATTGAAATAATACATGTATCAAAGTAATCATTCAGATCTTCTTCATTAGCATTTCTTTAACTTTTGATTACATTGATAAATATTTTGGTTAAAATATGATGAAAGCATCTAAAGTCACTACTTTTACCGCTGTACTTCACTTGATCTGTTAAATCTATTTAAATGCTGGCATGTGTATTAATGAAGCAAACTCTTGTTTGCTTTGGTTTTAAAAGAAAACTTAATTCCAGTCCTTTCTTGGTTTAAAATGAATCGCTACAACTAAATAGAAATAAGAAATAGAGGCTGTACTTGAGATTCTGTTTATCACTTCTTGGAATCTTTAATAACCACAAATTGTTTTAATTTTGAAAGTGATGCGAGTTTTCTTTAAATTTTGCATGTAAGTGATTATTTGTACTGCTTTATTTAGACTGAAATGACAGCAGAAGAAAGACGGAAAAAGCATCAACTTGAACTAAAGGAGCAACTACACGAAGAAGCAAAGGTATGGCCGTGGATCATATTTATCGGTAATAGCTGTTAAAGCAGTTTTCAATTGAGTGTTGTAAAACCAAAATCAAAGAAATCCCTATGACCAATCAGAATCTAATCATTAGCCAATGAGAACTCAAAGCAAAATCAAGGAAATTGCTTGAAGCGCGGGAAAAACGGGGTGACCAAGTAGCAACTGGTTTTAGTGTTGCATCTGATAGGTTGGGAAGATGACGTGAGTTTTCTGGACCGGTCAGTGCCAATGAGAACTCAAAATGAAAACAAGTAAAATTGCTAGAAGTGCGGTAAAAACGCGGACGACCAAGTAGCAATTACTTTTAGTGTTGCATCTCATTGGTTGGGAGGATGGCGTGACTTTTCTGGACCAATCACAGTGCAAGTTAAACAAAACTGAAGCAATCTTAGATTACTTTTGACACTCAATTAAAACTGCTTTATTGTATTGATAACTGTAATCCAAGACTGGCTTTGTTTTTGCGTCTCGCGCTCGGAAAAAGACAAATAACAGCCTTGCTGATTCCAGGAACCAGCTCGGCTCTTTCCTTAAATACCCCATGATCATTTTGATGTAGCTTATCTTAGCAGTATATGCAGGTTGCATGTGACGTAGGAGACCGGTGGAACCTGGCTGAGCCTCGCCTATCTTGGACTAGGAAGTTAATCCTATTTTGATGAAAATGTTTTCTTTTGCCTGAATGAGGTTGGGTGGTTAGGAGAGGGAACACATCTTTTATTTAAATTACGTAGAATATGTGCTACCAGCAGTACATGACGACTTGAAGGTAACATTACAAGGTTGATGGTTTTTTTAATTTTCGCAGAGACGTCTTCTTGAGTCCAAGGGGGATAAAGATGCGATTACTAAGTAAGAGTTTTGAATTTTAAAACATTAAAGTAAAAGCCAACGATTCGTTTGTTGCAAGCTTGTGTCATTCTTTTGTTATCTTGGTCAGTAAATTCTTGTTGTGTTTTAACCTTGTTACATTTTATTGGGGGGCAGCAATGCTGAGTGGTTATTTTTGGTTTTATTTTGTCGTGGTATTCAATTACTTTCAGGTTGAAACCGTCCAATGTAGCTTACAAACATCCTACACTTGTTCCGAGAGAGAATGATGTCAGAGAACACAAGATTTTTGTTGGTACGCAAACTCTTGTATATATTTATGTATAATGTGGCTCTTTCTTGTGGTAAAACCGCATCAAGAAACCATCGTTGCTGCAAGCTGCATTCACGTGTTTCTTGCTTCATCTTCCTTTTTAAATTTCCAAGGCCTTGAAGTAGTTTTTTTTATTACAATTTCTTACGTAAAAAAATATTTAATTCAAATACGTTCCATTTTTCAGTGATATGTATCTGAGTGGAGCAGAGGGTTGGCTTACCCCATTTCCCTTAATGAGGAAGAAGTAACAATTTATATTGATAAAATTGGACTCTCCACTTTCAAAAAAGGCACTGCATGCGCGGCTGCAGCCTAGTTTTTTCTCTTTTTACATTGGGTGCTGTTTTTCTCTCTTCAGACAAGAAATACGAGGCAGTAGTTTTACCTCTGTTTGGGGTAGCTACACCATTTCACATATCTACCATCAAGGTAGGTGTAAATTTACTTTACCACAGCGTGTTCGCTGGTGGCTTTCCAGTTGAAAAGCAAGGGATATGATAGTGTTCCTTCCTCTTTACTATTTCAACTGCCTTCTCCCCTTTCTCTAGGTATCCTAGAAATAACAACCCGGTTGATAAACATTTTGGGATTCGTAGCTTTAAAAACATGAAGTGTTTCACCTGATAGTGATTTGGTGACCGTGAGAGCTTTTTACCAAATCCTTTTCCAGACAAATCACGGAATTTTCCGTCTTATGGAACTCATGTTGCAAGAAGAGATTTGTAGAGAACTGTACTAGTTACAGAATCGTGTTGTAGGTAAACTTTTGTCTGGCTAATTTTTGAAAATATTATTTTTGTATTTTTCAGAACATCAGTTCCAGTGATGAGGGTGGTTACACCTACCTTCGAATTAATCTGTTTTGTCCTGGAAGGTAATGAGCAAGGGTTTCTAAGTTTGAACGAATTTTCATTGAGTGCAGTTTAACGAAAACCGAAGCGATTACAATGACCAATGAGAAGAGGATCATATCATAAGAGCCAATCACAGCGCGAAGTTAATACCTGTTAAACTGATAAAAGCCAAAGCAGTTGGTTTCACTTTTTGCACCTGATTTGTTGTTAGGGTGGCGCTTGTTTACGGAAACAATCGCAATGTAGCTTGCCTCACAGGCGTTGTTTGGTCTCATCAACAGACTTAGCGCAAAACAAAGTGAAACAAAATCAAAGCAATCTGGATTTTTCTCGACACTCATTGAAATTGGACTAATTGTATCCCTTTTTTCGGGCTAGATAAAGTTCCTTCCATGAATCCAACTATACTTATGGTATGCTTTTATCCTCAGTGCTGTCGGTCGTTCTGAAGGAAGTCTGTTCGCTCAACCCGAGGCTACATTTGTCAAAGAAGTGTAGGTTTTATGCCTTAAAATTGAGTGAAAATCTCATGGTTTATTATGGTGTACATCTGAGGGTCTTTACCTTCGTGAAATTTTTTGTTGAAGTTTTTTTCGTGTTGGTGACTAATTATTAAGTCTTTGTGATAGTGGCGACAGATGATAAGATTACTTCCACAGAGTACAGTGACGCCTTTTAGACCTTTTCTTTATCTCCACTTTGGACTTTCGACATTGCTTATCCTGGTAGTTCGTTGGACGCTTTTCAGATACAAATCAATTTATGACTTACATGTAGCTCATCAACGAATTTCCTGTACCTCGGTTAGAAGAGCATTCGACCGCGAAATCGAAACATAGTTATCTTTGATTTATCAATCAGATATTTCCAGCACACAGGACAGATGTTTGTTACATCTTTCGCTACGTCCCAAAGTGTATTCGTAGCCAACATGTAACTGTGCGAAGTGCATGGTCTCACTACACCCAGTTGATATACGTCTAAGATTGAGGAAATTCTGTGCACAAAACTTTTATATGAATGATGTAGTTTTCAATGTTTTTTTTTCCTTCTCGTTTTCACAGTAATTACCGAAGCTCGAACAGCAGACCGCACGGTGCATCTCAACCACCGGCGTTCAATCTAAACACAGCGTTTCGTCTCATCAAAGAAGTGCAGAAAAAATTCAAGACACGAGAAGCTGAAGAGAAAGAGAGGCAGGTCTGTGCGTTTTTGTTGGATGTTAGATTTTAATTGTATTTCAGGGAAAGTTCCCTGCGAGATTATTTTTTGTAGTTTGCCGTCGTTCCCATCGTTAGTTGTTAACCAAGGTGGACCGAGCTGTTTTCCGAATCGAGAGGTCTGGTGCGAGCTCTGACCCAGGTCTCTGTTGTCTGTGTCTGTTATTAAGTGAGACTAACCTTTTACCAAAGCCTCTCTTTACCAATGAGTATGAGGGAATGAACACTGGCACCGGGGACGCGTAACCTATAGTAAACGAACATCTCGTCCAGGAAAAGTGGCAAAACTCTGTGAAGCTCCATCCAATAGAAACTAGGAGAAGCTTCGGCGGCTGTGCGAGTCTATCTCCCATTGTAACACTGTCTTACATCGTTTTGAGGCAGTATTACTGTTGATGATATATTTGTCAATGTCTTACGTGACCGTTTTTTTTTTTTTTATATTTGTCTCAATAGGGCGTGGTCCAACAGGGGAACCTCATTCTAAACCCCAACAAAGGCAATCCAAAATTGAAAGATTTGTACATCAGACCAAGTATTACACAAAGACGATCACCGGTACGACCATGATAGTTGCTACCTCTTGTCTCTTGGCTAACTTTGATATTTCTATCGTTTTCGTTTTCTTTTAAAATAGAGAGGAGCCTCTTTCGCCATTTGTAAAGTTGGTAACTTATGTCGCCAAGTTGTCAAGCGTGCAAATTGCGAAAGACGTCACGAGGAAACAATCAAGCGCCAAAAAATCGCGTGAAAGGAGTGTGATTCGAGTAGTGAAATTCCGTCATGTCTTTTTGTTTTGTGATGTTCTTGAGCTTTCGCTGAATCCATGCGCCGCCATTTGAACATGGTTTTTACTATCAAATATCAAACAACTATTTACAGAAAACGCTACTGCATAATTTATAAATTCCGTTATTTTGGTAACATTTATTAAACCAAATTCATTTTATCAAACTTGTATTTATGAAGTGATTTATCATAATTTCAGGTTAAACTGCAACTGATTTTTGTGTTTTTTTTTTTCCCTCATTTCCGTGTTATTTTTTGTTTTAAAGTAATACAATGTATCCATTGGTAGCAACGTAACAATTTATAGTCATGCACATGGAGATAACTGTTGTTGCTTTCGTTGTCTATCAGCTCTTTTTCACACTTCCGTTGTTTTTAATGTTCTCAGGGCACTTTAGAGGCTCATACGAATGGTGAGTGCGTAGACTTTTCATTCATATCTGTACTCGTTTTTGTCTCTGGTGATCTTAACCCGATGTTCTTTCGAATCTTCATTTAAAGGTTTTAGGTTTGGAATGTATGGCGGAAATCACGTGGACATTTTGTATGGGAACGTAAAACATGCTTTTTTCCAGGTAAATTTTTTTTTTTTTTTCCGGCTTGCCTAAGAAAAGTTTTGATCGTCATATTGGGGTCTAAGTTCTTTTCCTAAAACTGTTTGTGGCCAAAGTTAAAATAATATAGTAGTGGAGCCAATCATATAGCGATAATGGCCAATTGGAATCTAAACGAAGGACGAAGGACTGTAGCACGTAGAAGATCACTTGATCCAAGTTCGCCAAGAGAACAATCGGGAATCGGAACTTGAGGGTTTTCTTTCGAGAATGCGGCAAATTTAAAGTCCGCGCTAACGTTGCACTGTTAAGGTACAGTCTTTGAAAAAGTTACGAGGTCATGAAACTATAACATTGGGAAGAGTTACAGCCTGCAGAGGGGGCTTCTCATTAGGGCGAGCTCCTGTAACAAGCTCACGATGGTTTATTCGACCGCCATGTTTGATTTAGAGTTAAAGTGACCGTCGCTCACCCCCCTTGGTCAGGGCTCGACAATAACGGTAGCCAACTAGCCGCTGACTAGTAGAAATTCAGTTTTGGCTAGTGGTTTTCGATTTCCACCCGCCAGTAAACAAACTGAAATTGTTTTAACATCTAAGTTGTCACAAGCCACTTGGCTACTAAGTTGAAAAGTTAGTGTCGAGCCTTGTTGGTACAAATTCCTTTCTCTCCCCAGCCTTCCGCTGCTGCAGAAATCAAATAAGGAATCTAGAACTTTCATCAAGAAAACAATGAGCACTCGATGGGCAAATTGCGCCTGCTCTGCCGGCTAGAACAGTCACAATTGGCACAATTCTTTTTAGCTAGTTAATCATTACTACTACATCTGAATTTTGCAACTTGCTTTGCAGCCCTGCGATGGAGAAATGATCATTCTCCTTCACTTTCACTTAAAGGTTTGTTGTTCGCTTCGTTGTTTAACTCTTTAACTCCCATGAGTGACCAAGACAGAATTTCTCCTTACAATATCAATACGTCATCAAGCAGACGAGTGATGAGAATAAGGAAACAAGAAAATCAGGGGATTATCAGTTGATCCAATACCAAATTCTCCAAACCAACATCATAAGAATTGTATTGCAGACAGTAAGGAGAATTGCTAAGGAGATCTTGGGAGTGAAAAGGTTAACAAGACTTATGGGTATGACTATTTGTTGACCTTAACCTCTTCCTTGCCCATTGAAAGGTCACCTTTTTCTTTTTTTACGTCGACTGTTTTATTATTTTGTTTGTATGCTCTGATTTGGTTTGGCGGGGGAAACCTGTTTTGGCCCTTGCTATTCTGTTATCGATCTATTTAGAGATGTTCCAGTTTTGAAACTAAATTTGGTGTCAATGCAGCTCAAGTTAAAACTTTCACTTACCCTATCTTGGAATGTAGACATTACGACGGTGGCTTATAAAATATGATTTTCCTCTTCTCCAGCATCCTATAATCATTGGCAAAAAGAAATACAGAGACATACAGTTTTACACTGAAGTAAGTGCAAGTAAAGTTTCTGACAATATTCGAGGGAGGGGGGTGGGGGGTGGGGGAAAATTGTACCTCTTCCCACGTGGGACCATAAATTAATTTCAAAAAACTAGCAGGGAAATTTTGAGATGGTACCACCCCACCCAGTAGGAGTAGTAACCCTATCTATGACAGGTCACGCTGCGGAAATCGAGATTACGTCCCGATGTAACAGATTTCAATTGAGTGACGAAAGTATCAAGGGTTGCGCTGGGTTTGCTCTACCTCGCTCTCTGATTGGTGTAGTAAACTCGGTCCCCTTCTCAACCAATCAGATTTATAGCTAAAACCAATAATGACTTGGTCTCCCTTGTTCCGCCCTTCAATCTGTTTTTTCTTTTTGTATTTATTCTGTCTTCTCTTTGGCTCTTTGTAATATTCCGATTGGCCATGGTGCTTTGGTATTGATCTAACGACAAGTTGAAAACCACTCTACCATGCTGAGGCTGGCGTCAAGGTCCTCAGTGATCTATTTTCTCGTTTTGATTTGTCTAATTGTATAGCACATGATTTAAACTGTTGCCGTACTTTCGCAGGTCGGTGAAATCACAACAGACTTGGGAAAACACCAACACATGCACGACAGGGATGACCTTCAAGCAGAGCAGGTGATTTTGTGGTTACTAAGTATTTCAAAGACTGAAACAAATTCTACCGCAACGAGCTGAGCGAGGTCTTCCTTTCAAAAGGATTACCAACTGAACTTGTCTCTCCTATAACTAAAATTAAGCGCCATCCATCGAGCCTCCCGGTTAGCTCAATGGATAGAGCGCTGGACTGTTGGTGGGAGGTCGAGGGTTCGAGCCCCGGCCAGACCAACACCCTTGAGAAGAATATGCTGCCTTTCTATAACATCAAGAAATGGTTTAGATATTCTAGTCTTCTCGGATAGGGACGAATAAATGGAGGTCCCATCTCCTGCAGAGTTAGGGGTAGGAGACGTTGATTTCCCACGAACAAGATTACTGTACGATGTATGCCCTCCCCTTGGGTGGGATGGGTGGGTTGGGGTTGGTGTAGGTGGGTGAACCTAGTAGAGGACTACGTGTCCTATTGTTCTCTCACCTGTACACTGTACAAATCTATAAAAACTCAAAACTCAAAACCAAGGGGCTTTTGCGAACCATCACCTCGAATGAGCGCCCGGGAGCTTATTTAAAATTTCTGCTAAAAGTGAGGACGTGGCAGTAGGAAAAAATTAATAGAACAGATACGCACATATATGAACTCTGCAAGTACATGGAGATAGCAGGAAACTATTCTCCTGTACTGATCTCGCTGAAGTTGAAGCTGAAAAAGTTATGAATAAAGTGGTAATAGAAACAAGTTTTCCGTGTATCCTTACTATTTAAGAAAAAAGGGGAGGAGCGCTTATTCGAGAGGGGCGCTTATTTAACATTATGGCTAAGGGGGTGGGTGCTTCTTAGAGCATGGGGGCTTATTCGCTTATATCTTAAAAACGCTACAAGTTTTCAAGTGAACGGGAAAGCGTTTTGTCTGATATTTGTTCTGCATTTACAGGCCGAAAGGGAGTTAAGGCAAAGGTTAAAATCGGTGTTTAAGAATTTCATTGATAAAGTAGAAGGAATAACTCACGGGCAAGTGGAATTTGATGTTCCATTCAGAGACCTCGGGTAAGTGGAATGCACGTAGCACAACTGCATTCAACACCAAGAGTCATTCTTGACCCTTCACCAGACATGAAGAGACATTCGTATCAGCCTATTTGTCCCGTACTATCGCAATGTCTGTTTTTACTTTTTTCGTATTTTGCTTTTTTTTTTTTTTTTTTTTTTTTTTCCTCGGTTAAGCCATTCGTTGTAATTTCCGCTTTTCTAACTTTCTTTTCGTCGGCGTGACCCACACTTTATTTTTTTAAAACCACTTCAGTAATGATTGTTTATTTGTTTTGTTTTTCAGATTTATGGGTGTACCATCTCGGAGCACAGTATTACTTCAGCCCACAACACATTGTTTAGTTAACATTACCGAGCAGGTACTAACAAATCCTCTGCCTTCCCTTAACTGCTGATTAGAGCACTTCTTTCCACTCGACTGTTTTCGGTGGACCGCTGTTTCTTTTGCTTTCTTGAGCCCTTAGAATAGTCTTGACGTAATCCTAAATCCTGATATGTGTTTTTTTCTTTACTGATGCTACGACTCATCGTGGTATGTTTTCTTCCCTAGCCAACGTTCATCATCACTTTGGATGAAGTAGAACTTGTTCACTTCGAGCGAGTACAGGTAAATCCATTTAACCAGATTATTTGATTAGGAGTCGTTAGTGTTTGTCATTATTATCCAACTGCACTGCAAGGTGTCGAGTACAAATACACATATATCGTTTTGTTGTGTAGTATCGCGGAGCATTTTTACGAGTTGTACCGTATTTTGACGAGCCCGTAAGGCGAGTCAAAATACAAACAATGAGTAAAAATACTCGGCAATACGACACGCCAAAGCGTCTAATAAGTTGTTTATAATGCAACACGCCAAATTGTTATTGCAGGGCTGGCGAATTTCGCGGTTACCGTAAATAAATATCGCCTGCACTGAAATGACGGATGTGTTGGATAATAAATCTCTTATTAAACGTTTTGTTGTATTGTATCGCTGAGTATTTTTAGTCGTTGTTTGTATTTTGACTTTCCCTACGGATTAGTCAAAATACGGCACAACTCGTGAAAATACTCGGCGATACTACACAACAAAACGCTCTCTTCGTAGCATTCATAGTCTTGATTCTCACCGAATTGGCAAACCCATTTGAAAGCGCCGATCAATTTTCATCGCTCGCACACGAAATGTTCGTAAAATGAGGGGAGGTTTTTTTAGACAGATGCGCAAAGAGTGATTTTATCGAAGAATTGGACTTTTGCTCTCCTGTCTGGTAGTCGAAAGTACAGTTGATACCGACGGGGGATTTAAGTTTTTTTTCAGTTTTGCTTTTCCGCTGGTTGACCATTTTTTCCCTTGTTTTAGTTTCATCTGAAGAATTTTGACATGGTGTTTGTGTTCAAAGACTACAAACGTAAAGTGGAACACGTAAATGCTATACCAATGACGTCACTGGATTCGGTCAAAGACTGGCTGAAGTACGTTTCCGTAGGCTTCCTTAACCCTTTACATACTAACATCAGTCTGCATATTCTCCATACTGTTCTCTATACATTTCCTAACGTGCCGACAAGGAGAATTAGTCTAACGATCGGGAGTTTCTTTTGTTGGTGATCATTTCCTTTATTCTCGTGACCTTAATGTGTGATTCAGGGGTGATATTGTAAGGAGAAATTAGATGCTGGTCTCTCTAAGGGGTCAAAGGGTTAATAATGCGACGTAAAATCCCAGTTATAGAAGTGGTCGTTCTCTCGCCCCAGGGGCTCAGGAAGAAGATAGAGCTTGGGATTGAAGTCCGCTTGATTGCCGATCCAGGAAGAAATTTGCCAGCCAAATGCTGTGGAGATAATATTTGCTCCTTTACGCTTCGTTTTCTTTGCAGTTCATGTGACATTAAGTACACCGAAGGAATCCAGAGTTTAAACTGGGCAAAGATCATGAAAACCATTAACGATGATCCTGAAGCGTTCATTGAGAATGGTGGCTGGAGTTTCTTGGATCCCGACAGCAGTGTAAGTTTTCTAGCAAAGTGACTCAGGGGTTCTGGTTAAGGGCCCTAAACGGCGTTTTTTTTTTCACAGAAATATTTACCGAAAGATTTTTCCAATAATTGGTTTTTGTGATTAATGTAAAAACTCATTGCATTAAATTTACATCGTTTTCCTCTGCCAATCAATGGTTTAGATACCTATCAGATGTCATCGCTTTCAAAACACATGTGTAGAAGAAATCCTGCCTGTTTAGAGCTATCTATCTCTTCGAAGTCACACGTCTCGAATACGACTTCCCCTAGATATCCTTTCTATACTTACGGTGTGCAAACGTAACCCCATTATTCCACATGGCCTCCCCTGGCGTGGATGGCAAGTGGCACAGTTGCCGGCTAGTTGTTGTTTTTTACCTCTTATGGGAAAACTCAGCAAGGAACCTCGGCTTGTTTTGTTCTGAATTAAGTGCATTTGAACCTCAGGGTGAAGAGGGAGGAGAAAGCGAGGATGAAGCGGAAAGTGAGTACGCTCCGACAGAATCAGAGGAAGAGGAGTCGTCTTCACAAGAGGAATATTCTTCTGAAACAGAGACAAGCGAAGACGGCTCAGGTGAGGACACTGCGCACGAGAGGGCCTGGACTCAAACGCGTATGAATCTCATGCGACTCGCCCTTTGCGTCCTTTCTGTGCTTGCCTCCGCGTGCCTGAAAAACGCCAAAAAAGGGGAAAAAAATGTAGCCTGTCTAGTTTGGCCGAAATAGCATCCATCAGACGACCTAGGGCACCCTAAGTGGCTCACTACTGGTGTTCGGATCCAGTTTTTTATAAACTATGCTGTTCGTGCTCTGTTGTTACAATGAATCTTTTTCGGCTACAGCAATGTGGCAGCTTTCAGAAAACTGGCAATAAATGTTGTTCAGATGAACCGCAAAAAGACAGTTGCTCCTTTAGCGTGATTAAAATCACTTGATAAAACTTTCCTGAGGGTTATGTTTCTATTGTCTGATTTGTTGTCTTTATTTGTTTGTTTGTTTGTTTGTTTTTGTCCTAGGGCGCCCACTGTCGTAAGAATTTGCTGGCGAGGGCGAGAATTGCTGAATAGTTTTTACCGTTCAATAAGTCATTTTCGTAATAATAAAATTCGAACATGGCTCCAAGGCTCTGGAGAATAAAACAAAAGGAATTATTTATTTATCCCTCAATTTTCGATGTGATTTCTTTGGTTTTATTCCTTTGGTTTTATTCCTCCAAGCCTTCCTCCAAGTTTTTTGATACATCAAAAATGGCCTATTTAACTGATATGAACATCATGGAAACTCCGCTTCAAAACCCCCCGCACAATTTCGTCTTCCTTTTGATGGTCTTTTTCGATTATCTCACTGAATTACAGTTGTGGGGGAGAGTACGCTGATCGCGATAGCGAAACTGGATTAGCTGACTAATGTTTTCTTTTTAAGAATTCGAGGAAGAGATGGGCAGTGAGGAGGAAAGCGGAAAAGACTGGTCCGAACTTGAAGAGGAAGCTGCTAAAGGTGAGCTCTAGATCTTTCTCGACTAGTACTCGAGCCGTTTTCCTTGATATTTGATATGTTGTACTTCCCTTGTGGTACATTGGCCCCATGCCACGCACGCTTTCAAGTTGCTTGTAATTTTCGGTGCGTTCTGCGGTCGTTCATAAATGTTTAATTGAATCCACGCAGTGGTGGATTTTTCTTTATGCAAAATGTGCTAGAAAGTTCCTTAGTTGATTGTTTTTCTGAGTAACCGGAAATACTGTTTTAAAAACATTTTTATCACCAAAATGCGTGAATGAAAATGGAGCCTCGCGCACAAAACTCGGCGAGTAAAAGGAGAATTAACTGCTTTTTAAAGCGTGCTAAACTGTTTTGGAAAGAAATAAATAAAGATTTGTGTGGGCAAAACAATGCTGAACCCGCTACTTCAGTACTTCGGAAATACTGAAAACAGCTGATTCACGCTATTTGTGCCTTGTAAATAGAGTTTCTGGAATATTGTAATTAGTTTTAGACTAGAGTTTTCTTTCTCTGTGGTGGCCCTAAAATCAGGAAATGATCAGCAAAAAGATAAATTACTCAATGTTAGTAAAAAGTAAGTGAATTTCATTTTGATCGAGGGAAATTAAAAATTTGGCGGAGAAGCCACGGAAAAGTAAATTGTGAACACCATCATTCGACATGTTTGTGTGTGTTCACTGTCTTGTTAAGGGCCGTAGATTAAATTTATTGAGTCGGTAAAGAAGGGCGACCGACATGGTAGGCCCGGAGGCTGTTACTGCATGTCATCTTGTATGTGTTTTTTTCTTGAAAACGTTTTGTTGTCAATCCGGTAAAAGCCTTGAAATTTTGACGACTGGCATGTGAAGCAGCCATGTTCAGGAATCTGTGTTCCTGCTTGTGTTCTAACCACCGTGCGGAATGCTTTTGTTCTAGCCGCATGGATCAGTTGTAAAATGAACCCAGACCAAAGTCCGCCGTTTTGATTCGGTTTCATTTTTGTTCCTCAGCCGACCGCGATAGGGGCCAAGAAGAAACTCCATCAAAGAAGAGAAAAAAACCGAGTAGCAAACACGAATCTCCACGTAAGAAAAAACGAAAGCGTTAAACATGCTATCGTTGGGTACATTTAAACGAAGATGTGTTAGAAACGCAATGTCGTTTGGCGTCCGTCCACCGTCATAACTGGAGATGTCGTTGTAACTGAAGATTGAAAAGGAGAAAAGGAGAGCGGACTCGTGCAAACATTTTTTTAAACGCTGGCCGGTGATTGTGCGACATAATGCCTTCATGTATTATAATGGATAGAAACTAGGCCGTTTTACTTAAGTCTGAACTGACGGCGAGATATGTCAAACCTAGTTTCAGGCGGTAACGTAGTATTTCACTCGAGAATGATAACTTGAACGGCGCTAGGAACGTGCCCTGCATTGCTTTTTTGTTAGACGCCTATATTTTACGTTTGAAAGGTGTCTTTGAATACATGTAAAGTCAACGAAAAATGTGTTCCGCATGAAATTGTTTAAAGGTTGTTAGAAAATTTCTTCGTCCCACACACTTGTATCTGCAGACCGTTTTTTGTAGTATTAACAAAAGGTTAATCTTTTAACTCCCAAAGCGATTACCATGTAACTTCTCCCTATAATATCCATACTTTTTCGAGCCAACAAGTTACAAGAATGTACTCAAAGTTTTAGGTAGAAGCTATCTTGATCTGACACCAAATTTTTCGTTACTGCATGATTTACATGGAAATGTGTAGCAGAAAAAAGGGAGAACTAACGATCATATCTTGGTAGTTTAAGGGTTAAGGATGTCATCGGAGACCGCGCACTTTCCTGCTGCTTTTTATACGAGGTCGAGCAGTTTTGTTATGTTTGACTTAACTTCGGTAGAAATCTTATCTTTGGCTTGGATATGAAAGCCGCTGTACTTAGTTACTATCACCGTATTCTATATCCGTCCAATTGCGATTGAGATGCATTTCTGTAATTGACATTGACTGAAAAGGCAATTCTGAGGGAGAGTTGGCAGATTTATTCTATTGTTGATAAACCTGAAATCCCAGATACTTCAAGTAGTCTCTGAAAGCAAAATGCCATCTGATATCTCGGAAAACATTGAAATGAAATTCTGGTATGCTTGTATAAACAGCGAGTTGAAGGACTGTAGATGCACACACGTAAATTTCCCACAAACGTCAGCTGGTGTAAAAGAACATTAAGACTTAAGCTGTCTGAAATAAAGTTCATTATGTATTTAAAATTGTATTTTTTATTGACCATTGCAGAACTGCAACCGACAGATTTGATTTTAAAGTAAACTTTATCTTTGATAAATTGTCGTGTCATTTTAGTCCGAGTGTGGTAAAAATTAAATCGTATGTCACGCTCATTTGGAATCGTGTGTTATGTTTCTAACTCTTATTTTTTCTGAGCACGAATTCATTGCTTCGAAGATATGAATACACAGTGACAGCGCCTTAGCTGGACCTTTCCTCCTCAGTGATCTGTTAATGATACTCGTCTGGGTTTTCACAGGAAAGCAATGCTATTGATATTTGATTCTAGTCATTACAATTATCCCGAAGGCGTTGAAAACATGTTCGTAGCGGTCCACTACAATTGTTTAGAGAGGTTTTTTGCATGCACTGGCATGTAAATATATTATAAGAATTATTATCAAAAACATCCGGCGGTCCTATATATCTTCTCGCGTCACTGCGGTAAATTAATTACGTCTGAGCAAGGGTTGAAAATTAAGAACGGAACTGGTGAACCGGAGCTGTAATTACGGCTAGTCGTTCGCGATATCTTTTTGCTTCCATTTTTGTAGTTGTTTGTTTCTTGTTGGTTTGGATTTTCAGGTATCCTTCTAAATGTTGATGGTGCTTTGACAGGTTTCTTTGTAACCATAGCGACAAATACTCGTATGATATAATTAACTGTCAGTGACTACCAATATAGAAGGCCAATGACTAATGCCAAGCCGGCCACAATGACATTTCATTTTAAGACTATTAATATGCCGATAATAGCAGCAGTCGGCAGTTATCACTCGCAAAGGAAAATTTGTGTAGCATTTGACGAACAAGGTGAATGCCTCTGGCGCTGCACAAAATAAGAACATGCCTCGCCATCGCCATCGGAAAATCGAAAACTTTACAACAATGGTTGAGCCAACGCAAGCAGTAGACAACATGCCACAATCGGAGCCTACGCCTGATTGGCGCCAAGGAAGGAAAAGTTGGGGAATAGCTTGGGAGTTGCACTGGATTGGATTTGGTCTTGCATTCAGTATTTTGGCATTTCTTTCTCTCATTTCCTTGATCCAAGCCAGGAAGAAGAGAGGATTTGGACGAAAGCCTTTCGTGATCACAGTGAACGCCTTGTTGTTCGCTTTTGGGGTCACACGAGCTTCTTATCTCTTGATAGATCCCTATGGATCTCAACAGAATGGTATCGAGGTGCCTTGGTGGTTTTTACAATTCCTTTTCAACATCGCTTTCCCGTGCCTGACCTCGTCGTTCAGTTTGATCTTTTTAGCTTTTCTTGAAGTTTCGAAATTGCAATTGGTGCCAACCAAGTTACAGAATGCTTACATACTTGGTTCAATCTTAACGTTTCACTTTGCCATAGTCCTTGCTAGTGATTTTGCCTCGGCATTTGACGCCGATATCGTTATTTTATTACTCATCTGCCAAGTTTTTGCTATTGTTTGGGGATTTCTTCTTTCCGCCAGCTTTATCTACGGTGGGCTGAAAGTTATATATCAAGTGAGAAATGTTGAGAAACGCCTAGGACTGCAGAACAGAGCGAACACATCCAAAGTTGCAAAAGTCACTATTGGCACGAGTGTCTTAGGAATTACAAGCAGTATTTTGCAGTTGTATTCACTGGTAAGTGTTTACAAATTCTACAACGATGTTCAAGAGCCTGATGTGTGGATGTGGTGGACTTTTCATACCTGTTCTCGCCTTGTAGAAATTGCCATGGCGTGCACACTCACATACAGTGTAAGGAGACCTTCCGAAAAGAATCGCCCCGTCAGCGTTAGCAGAAAATTTACCGTGACAGAAACAGTGTGACGAGAGAGAACAGGAATGAGAAGCAAGCCAGAACTCTATGGAAAGCAAGCTTACTTCAGTGTAATCCACATTACGTGATATTTATTTGGAAAGATTTTACGTTATCTAAGAGATGCTCAAAGTGAGTTAAAAGTCGTGTCGAAAGTAATCGAAGTACGCTAGTGCTTTTTCGAGAAGAAATTATTCCCACGGATATACCGGACCTTAAAAGGAGAGAGCGGAAATATATTTAACCGCATTCGCCCGGCAAAGCTGACATTGGCCAAAGTGGTACCTTGTCGACTTCTCACGTACCTCAGTTTGTGTTTTTCTCAAACTAAGACACATTTGTAAACTCTTTAATAGCACGAACAACTATAGATAATGTAAGTTGCCGGTAGCAAGTTAATTCCTAAATGGCAAATAGCGACGGGTCGCGAAGTAAAAAAATTAGGAAAAAAAGCAGTAAATGCTTTACTGGGTACGTTCCCGTTAAAGAAAAAGAGTTCGTTAGTTTCCTACAAATGCCAGGATCTATTCTGTTTTGTTCTATTTGGTTTTATTCTTTTTTATTACTTTTATCATTTTATTATTTTCAACTGTTTAGGTCAGTTTTTGTTACGTTATGTAACTCCTATTGCAGTGTCACGTGGCAGGTGTCAGGATGCCGCCAAACGAATATTTTTAATGACTGTATTTTTCCGGAAATGATCCAGTTTTCATTCCTGCCCACACTTACGTTAGACATGTATATAAAGACAGAATTGGGTCAACAGCCAATGAAATGTTTGTTACAGACGAAGCCATTGTTTTCATTGACTCAATACGCAACACATCTGTAGCTACGAATTTGACGTTTCATTGGTTTGATACTTAAGGTTTTTTTTCGATAAGAGGAAAAATGGCAGACGTGTCTCGCTTACATAACCAAAATTACATATGTAGACACGTGCAATCGTTTCCACGAAAATAGAGATTTACTTAATGTCGAAATACTACGGCGAATTTAAACTCAAGTAAGAGGGGTGCTTTGAGATTTTTCTAAGATTTTGTGATTTGCAAACCTTTTGTCAACTCGGTCGGGAACGAAAAACTATTAGTTCGGTTGGAAACGTATGGGCGGGGGGGGGAGGGGGCAGAAGGGAAGGAATGGGATGTTGAAGATAAAAACTGTGACGTTGCCGGTCCTTTAATGATGTTATAAAAATCATAATCATAGGACGTTATAATGATAAAAAGTATTAAATAAAGACTTCTAAACAGGTACATCAGTCTCAAGGTAATGTGATGAAGAGACTGTTATGGCGTTTATTAAAATCACTGAAATTAGCAAGCCTCCAAGCTGTTTCAAGCGCATTGCTTTGACAAAAAATTGCTCATTCGTGAAACGCCGTGGGCGAACTAATTGTGATACGTTCTATTAATATCGTGGTTGTTCCGTTACAGTTATTTACGGCTGGGAAGCCCGCATGCTATGACGTTCGAGAAAGGGAAGTACTTCTGACTAAGCTATGTTGACTTTAATAATATGCTCAGTCTTTTTCTGTATTTTCTTATTCGCTAAACAATGAAAAGGTGTACTTTTAGATGACTCACGTTCGTTTCGCTCTCGTACTTCCACCTTTTCAGTCTCAATCTACGTCATGACATTGTGAATTTGGTCAGTCGTTGAAACCAAATGACTTGTCCTGTCCAAAGAAGGAAACTTAAAACTTAAAATAGTTTGCTCGATCAATGAGGAAAATATTTGAGAAGAAAATAAAACCAAAAAAGGGTAAGGATGGTCAAGATAATAAAATATTAATGTGGATTTCCGAAGGGGAACTTAAAGTACTCACGGCTTAATTTTCTCCTTTATTTACCTTTTCTTTAGAGGACATTTAAAAACAAAATCGTTGGCTATGGTTAAAAAGAAGAGAAAACCCCGGAAATGCGAGTATTTTCAATGATGTCAGTTAGACTAACCCTTTCACTGCAAGTGGTTATCAGCAAGTAAATTTATTTTGCAACTTTCAAGGATTGAGAAAACTACAGAATAGTAATAATTACGGATTAACAAGTGCGTACGATCAAGCATAGGAATGAATAGTTTTGTCTCGGCGTAACAGATCAAAGTGTCATTAAACCTACGAACATGTAGGTTCTGATTTGTGATAACTCATTTCGTTAGATCAAATGACTGCAATTTATCTACGTATCGTACTTCCCATGGCATCCAGACCGAAGCACGCCGACCCGCGGGATTTCACTTAGCCAGCGGGATTCGAAGCTTACACATGAAACCGAGGCTGGTGGTCAGCTATTCCAAGATGGCGCTCAAACTCTGAGATCGAACAACATCTAGAAAGAAGTGATACGATTTGTATGTGTTCTCCTAACGTTGAACGCAACCAGAGAATATGGCCTCGATTACAGACTAAGTTCTCAGGAAGAGCTAGCGAACAGTATATGATTATCAATTAAAAGACCTTTTCAGAATTTGCAATTGAAAAGGCCAAAACGTCTTAGAGACGGTGAATTTGAAAAAATATTGAGCTCAATTTTTAAAGATGGTCTTTCCTGTCTCCCTCCCCTAATGTCGCTCCTTTGATACCCCTTCCCCACTTATGCTAGCCTGCGAAGCAAGCCCTGGGGGAGAGGAGGGGGAATTGGGGCGAGCGGAATGTGCGGAGGGGAGAGGGAGGGCTTGCCACAGACCCCCACTAACCAACGAAATTTCCGATCTCGTATGGACGAAAAATTCCCATTGGCTGAGAGCAACACGTTGTCAATCAACCCTCGGACTAAACTGTCTTCGTGGCGATTACCTTTTAGAAAATGGCGGACGACGGTGATTTCGAGAAGTTCTGCCCTCAAGAATCGATGTCGAAGTAGAATATTTGTGGCAGCCATCCACTTGTTCAAGCTCAGGGCCTTGATAAGAATGGCGTCTTCATTCTCAAACTTGCCCTTAACCACAACATTGCAAAGCCGATGGATGTTGCATCCAAATTATCAATGTTTAAATTTATATCCATCGCTGAAGTTGAGGGTTGTCCTTTCGTCGGAGAGTCAAACAACGCTTCCCTGCTAGATGTAGGTTTTGCATGTGCCGAGCAGCGGACACGCAAGCTCTTTCTACCTAGACTTTTTCCTGTCGGTGTTGAGAACTTTCATTTCGACGGAACATCACGGGAATCCGGACATTGAGAAGCGGCCTTATTCAAAAATTCATAAAACTGGCAAAAACTGTTAGCTTTTCTTGCACAAGGAAGGCATATAATTTAAGATATGTGCGACTTATTTTCGAAGTGAAAACCGACCGTTCGAAGGCGATCGGCGAAGACACACTGAAATTATTCCCTTTGACTCTGATTAAAAATGTTTACAAAACTCTTGAAGCCACTTCCAAATTTAATTCTTTTAAGAATTAAATTTGGAAGATTTAAAAATCTAGTTTTAGTTGTTGTTTTACTTGTTGCTGTTGGGTAGATTTAAAGATCTACTCCACAAAACCGGCATTTGCTGGACTCCTCCGGCCGCTGGAGACAGTATCCAAGACAAGTCACAAATTTGATGTTAACGTGTTTAATAATCGCAAGATTCTCAAGGTCTTCGCACAATCACGGTCAATCTAATTCTCTTGTTCAATAGATTCGAATTAACAACTTAAAAGGGTGGACAGGCTCTTAATAATACGCACGAGCTCCCGTTGTCACGGGTTACATAATTACGTAATATGTGCCCCAGTCCCCGACAGGCAAGCTACGTCTTCTGGATTAACTCTTGGCTTTCTCCCTCTCTTAGATTTTGATACCAAATTCTCCTTGTCGTCTGACATTTCTCGCTCACGTGGAGCAAGTTTTAGCTGTTGTTTTGACAGTTTGCATGGTTCACTGAGCTCTCGCTAACGGCGCTTCCTGATTGGTTAATTTTAAGAGGCGCTGATTGACACATGCAAGACGATATGAATATGAAAATAAGGGGCGTTTCGTTAGCTTGTGGGGGTCTGTGGCAAGCCCTCCCTTTCCCCTTCGCACATTCCGCTCCCCCCAGTCCCCCCTCCTTTCCCCAAGGGCTTGCTTCGCAGGCTACACTTATGCGGGTGAATGTATACATGCATTTTTCTCATTGCACAGAACGCCAGGAGGAAAGTCTTTTGAACAATTTTTCTCATGCCTAACTTTTAATGATAACTTGCAGGTAGATAAATTGAAGTCTGCCGAAACTGCGCCACTTTGAAAGGAAATCATTAACTTGTCTCCCTTTTCAATCCTAAGCTCATCGGTGACGTCGGCAGTGTGAGTTAGTGTTTTCAGCGGTCTTTTACAGGGCTATGACGTCTTTCAATATTAAAATAATTATGTCGCTTAGTGTGAACCTTCATATTTCAAAACAGAGAGAGTTTGTGTGTGTGTGTGTGTGTGTGTGTGTGTGTGTGTGTGTGTGTGTGTGTGTGAGTCGATCTGGTATCGTTTAAAGTGCTACTGAAACGTAATTTTCATATCCGAGATTTTGCAAAATAATAGAGTTTGAACGTTATTTGCAAACGCTGTGTACTTTTTTTGGGCCAACGCATAGCCGAAAGTACATTTTTAACCATTCGAAGTTGACCGGCTGAGATCAAAATTGGCGGCCATCTTGGCGCGGCCAAAACAGCCCTGTGACGTCACTGGTTGTGTACTTCTGTGAAAGAAGGGTAAAAGCATGGAGTGTGGCTTGCATGTTGGGAGGCCGAAAAAGAGGATTTCGGGCAAAATGCCATCCT